AGAAGTGTGGGTGCGCGATGTCGCAAGCGCAACGAATGTGTTGTTTTGTTTGTTGCATGTTTTTGTTCTTGCAAGGAGGAGTTTTTTTTCACTTGTTACTTTAAGCGCACAGGGGGGGCGGAGCCCCCCTGGGAAAATCCGTGGGCGTGGTGGCAGCATTTCTGCGTCCGCTCGCGGACGCAGAGTTTTTCGGTGGCGCAGCCACCTTTTTCTGTCAACGTTTGCTCCACAAACTTTGCTCCCATCCGCAGAATAAAAAAATTCACCAGCCAGGTACTGAAGTCAGTCGACCAACCAGTCACCTTCCAACAACAACAACAACAATGATGACCGAAGGAACAACACGCACAGTGCACGCTGTTAGGCTGTTCTTCTTCTCGCTTCCTTCGTCGGAACATGTTCGTGCAAAGCTGGCTGAGGAAGCTGGCTGAGATGATGTGACAGCCAGGCAAGCACAAACCGTCCAGCACATTGAGCAGCCACGCGCGGCCCGCTTCCGAGCGACGGAACCGCAATTAACAACCCCAGCATAGCATAATCAAGTCTGCATGCTTTTGGGAGCGACCGGGTCACACGGCAGTGCTTTGTCGGAACGTGTTCAAGCAGCTGGCAAGCAAGCAGGCAACTGTGTGCACTGTCTTCCCCGCGACGCCGCAGACATGACAGCTGTTGGAGCGCCCGGTTGGGCGACGCACTTCGCCTGCGCCTGCGCTTCCCTTTGCGCGAACACGTTTGTGTTGCCCTGCGCTGGCCATGGCGTTTCAATGACCGCATATGCCTCCGCCTGAAGCTGAGGCGCCGTGAAGATGTCAGGCCGTCGAACTCAGCGATGCCGGTGTTGTGGAAACCCCGGTCACAACGCACGGACGTGCCCCTTGGTGAGAAGGCGGGCAACGCCACGCGAGGCGCCCCGGGATCCAAGCTGTGGCCATGGTGACGGCGAGCCCCCTCGCCAGCGTGCACGCACCACTCATCCTCAGCCACAGCAACGCCAACAACAACCACAACAACCACAACAGCAGCAGCAACTGGGGAATCGGGCTCCAAGCTGTGGCAATGGTGACGGCGAGCCCCCTCGCCAGCGTGCACGCACCACTCATCCTCAGCCACAACAACGCCAACAACAACAACAGCAGCCGCCGTCGCGTGCAGGTCGGACTCGAGAGCGGCGGTGTGGCCGCTGCGGACAAACCGGTCACACGGTCACGACCTGCTCGCTGTCTGCGAACCGCATGGACGACGTGCATCTCCTGCCGCCCCTGACACGAGAGTGCCCTTATTGCGGTGCGCTGCTGTTCGATGGCCAGCGCCGCGAGGACGGCAGTGAGACCAGCTCCTTCTGCTGTGGCAACGGCCGCGTTCATCTCGAACCCATGCCAGCACCACCGGCGCCGCTGCGACAGCTCTGGGAGGACCGTGGCGAGCGTGGTCGCATCTTCTACGACTACATCCGCCTCTTCAACAATGCCCTCGCCCTGGCTTCTGCGCGAGCGTCGTGGGTGAGGGCGGAGCGTGGGTGGAGCCCACACCTCATCATACAGGGGAGCCTTCATCACTGCATCGGGTCGCTGCTGCCTGCCGAGGGCGAGGAGCCGCAGTTTGCGCAGGTGTACGTGTACGACAACGTCGGCCAGGCAACCGCGCGCCGCCTGCTCGACATGCGACAGCGGATCGCGGCTGGGACGAGCGTGCCCGATTCCATCTGCGCGAACATCCTCACCACGCTCCATGACATGTTGGTGGACTGCAACCCATACGTCGACGCCTTTCGTGATGCCGCCTCGGCCGCGCTCGCGTCTTCGGGCGATGATGCTGTGCCGGACCTGCAGTTGGTGCTCAACTCCGAGAACAGGCCCGCCGATCAGCACGCGCGCCGCTACACGTCGGGCAACTCCGAGGAGGTGGCCTTGCTGTGTCCGGATGACCAGGTTGCACAGCGGGACCTGGTCGTGTACCCGAGGGACGGCGGCATTCAGTTCATCAACGAGACACACCAGGCCTGGGACCCGCTTCACTTTGTGTTGCTGTTTCCCGATGGCACACCGGGGTGGAGGATTGGCGTGCCTCTGCGTGTCCCGCCGTCGCTGGGTGGTGATCAACGCCGCCCGGATCAGTGTGGTGGTGCTGTCGTCGATGCAGAGGACGTCATGGGGCTCGGCGGCGATGGCTCGGCCGCCCGTCACGTGAGCACTCGGCAGTTCTACGTGTACCACCTGATGCAGAGGTCGCAGTGCAACTACCTGCTGCGTGCCGGGCGGCTGACGCAGGAGTACATTTGCTCGGCGTTCTACCGCGTGGAGTACCTGCGGCTCCTGTACGTTCGCCAGCATCAGGCAGAGCTTCGCTCCGCCATCTACCAGAACTTGGTGGACCACTCTGGGGAGGATGACGCAGACGAGCAGCAGCTTGGGCGCCGGGTTGTCCTGCCATCCAGCTTCCTTGGAGGACAACGGCACACCAAGGAGCGCTTCCATGACGCCATGGCCATCCTTGGCGAATA